ACAGCCCTGGGGGGGCCCCGGCCCGGCCCGGCCCCGGGGCAGCACCCGCCCGGACCGCCCCCCCCCCGGCCCGGCCGCCGCACGGGGCGGGCGGGGCGTGGGGCGACCGCGCCGGCCTGGCCCGGCCCGGCCTGTCCCGTCCCATCGCTGTTCCCCCCCGGGAGTGGGGAGGAGCCGCGCCGGGAGCCCCCCGGGGGAGGCGGGCGGGCGGGCGGCCCGGCGGGGAGGGGAGGGGAGGAGAAGGGAGGGGAGGGTCGGGGGTGGTGAAACCCGGGGCGCGGCGGGTCCGCCTCTTCCATTGATGAAATTTAAATTGCTCGGCGTTCGCCGCCCGCCCGCCGGCCCGGGAGGGAGCGCTGGGCGGAGGGGCAGCGCGGCGGGCGGGCGGGCGGGAGCTCCCAGGGAGGCCGGGGTCGCCGTCGTTCCCGCCGCAGCCTCCGCAGGGGCGGCAGCCGCGGGGCGGAACCCCCCGGTACGGGGCACTCCGTGTTTGGCCGAGTGTTTATTGATTAAAGAGCGAAAATGTCGGCGCTCTTGAAAGGTAAGCTGACGCGATTTGTTTTTCTCGGCTCCCTACGGCTGTGTGTTTTGGCCCCGCTCTCTCTCTCCCGGCGGCTCGGGGGCAGCGGTGGGTGCAGCAGCAGCCGAGGTGCGATGTGCGGGATATTCCCCGCAGCCCTGTCCGTGATCCCGGCGGGGCCCCCGCCGGCCCAGCTCGGCTCTGCCGCTCCGCGATCCCGGGGGGAACCGGGCGGGAGCGGCGGGACTGTGCAAGGGGTCCCTGCCAGCGCAAACCTCCGCTCAGCGCTCCGCGAAAGTTGCGGGAGGAAGAATGCCGAGGTCCGACGTCTTCGCTTCTTTTTTTTTTCCTTTTAAATTTTTTTGAAGGCTTTAGTGCATTTTGGCGTCTTCTGATCCCGGCGGGGCTCCGGCGCTCTCCTTTACTCTCCGCATGTGTGTACGTGGTCTGAGTTTTGGATTCCCTGTGAAACAGGGAACCAAACCCGCAAGAGGTCATTTCGGGAAGAAAAATTACTTTGGTGCATTGCTGTTGCAGTTTTTTTTCCCCCCCTCCTTTCCGGTGTCCTAATGGTGTTTTTTGTAATGAAATCCATGCCTGTGGGGTTCCTTAATATAAACCTGTGCAGGCCTATCAACAAATACAGTTCTGCCCGCAGAAGGAACACGAGGAGGTCTTTTGCTGTACGAACTTGGATATTGCAGGCAGTTGAGGGCCTTTGGAAGCTTTGGGAAATCACTGTCCCCTCACACAGTGGGTGTCCAGGACTGTACAACGCTGGCTGTGTAAATGCATCACCTGTCTGCAGATGTCCTGTGATACCTGGGCAAAAGGCAGAGAGCTGAAGGAGGAAAGTGTTTCGGCACGTTGCTCAACCGGCCACTCTGAAAGTTACCAAGATGAGCCCTTGCGAAATACATTACGAAAATACATTCCTAATTGTTCTTTTTAGATGGAATTGGCTTATCTCAGGCTACTGCTGGAGGTAGCCATCTTGCAGACAAGTGATGTTATTTATGAAACTGAAAACTGTAGAAACCTGTGTAAAGATCATAGTTTGCTTTTTAAATATTACCAAAGATTTGACAATCCTAAAAGCTTTAAAAAAAAAAAAAAGTATCCAGTGTTTAGATACTCTTCTGTCAGGCCAATAGTACTAAAACATGTTGCCAATGTCAAGTGATATTTTTAGCGTGGGGATCAGCTGCTAGACTGAGAAATCCAGCTGTGTCTGACTGTAACACCTAAACTCTTGGTGTGTGCAGCTGGCAAGAACGGCTTCCTATGTCGCAGATTCCTGAGTTAGCTCAGGCTAATGTGCTCATCTGTCAAGGAGTGTCAGAGCATATAGCTTTCGCTTCACGTATGCTTCAGTCCAACATGTGTTGGCGAAGTTTGCCTTTAGTACTAGGAAAATAAAAATGTTTGTAAAGACCGAGTGGGTACGTTCAATTCTGAAAATCAAAGTAGTATTCATTAGCATTGGACTTTATAGTGTGGGTATTTAAAGAGAGCTTTATCCTTGCCAGAGATAAGGGTTGCCTTGAACTTTAAGCAGAGCTGTTGAAAGTTGAGGCATTTACTCTGTGCCCTCAGCACAGAGTTCAAGGATAGAGTATTTAAAGTTTAGCTACGTGTTGTAACTCACTGGCCACCCTTTCGTGATCTTTATGCTGTAGTCTGGCTCCAAAGAGACCCAGATACTTTTCTGCTGTAGGTCTTTCTGGATTGTTACTTGGATTGTGAAAGTAAACACAGTTCATAATCCTCAGCCCAAGAGATTCCCCATTTTTCTCATGAGAGAGGGAACTTCTGGCTTGACTTGTCCCATGATTCCCTCCTGTGCTGGGTCCTTGTATACTGAATAACAAAGCAGTGATCTTCTGAGTGGATTAATGAATAAAATTAATCAATCTTAATGCGTTCTCTGCTTTTAACATAGAATAAGATGAGGGGTGGCAGAAAGGAAACATGTGCAAGCTCCTAAGGGGTCACTGTTTTTCTGTCCTTGTGCAGTTTTCCTGAGGACATCTACCCCTTATTTTGTTTCTGATAGTGTACAAAGCCCTCCTTTTTATTGGCTTGGTCTATCATGTTTTGTTTTTTTCATATGTCAGTTATAAAATTATGCATCATAAACCTGCTGGTAACTCTGCCATGTGCTGAGGCTTGTGCTGTGAGGGCAGGGGCCAGGTTAGCAGTCAGAGCAGAGCACAAAGGCGTGCTAGAAATAACAGTGGGGGCAGGAGGGCTGGAGTGAAATTCTCCACGCGTCAAACACCATCAGGAACTTGATTAAAGAGCTGTCCTATCTCTGCTACTTGGGAGGAAGCACTTTCTACCAAAGACATTAAAATAAGATATCCTGAGTGGTCATTTTTGCAAAGCCTAGTGTTTTCTGAAGTCTCAACTATTTAGTCATGCTCTTCTGGTCTGTGCTCATTTCCTGTGTGGGCAGGTCCCCCAAGAGTCTTCCACTACCCTGTCCTACCCGTTTCTTACTTCTGATGAGTATTCAGGAATATTGGTTTTGTAAAAGTGGGCTTAGGCTGAAATCTGAGGCGTCGGTTGCGAAATAGTTTGGAAGAGGCATTTCTATTTCAACACAATTTGGGATTTTATGGCCACATATATCCTGGGAAATCTCTTCCTGCGATTATCCAGCGCCCCTGCCTCTCATCTGATTTTTAGAGGCACAATAGCTACTTTTCATTATGACCTTAGGAAATTTTAGTTGCCTGTAGGAAAGAACCGCTTTAAGATATACAGTTACACTGGCCTTTCCACTAGTTGCTACTAAGGTGAAAAGGGAAATCAATCTTCACCCAGGCTGTTAAATTCATCCGTAGCTCATGTTAAAGGACTGCAGTTGTCTTTCTGCTGGCAGTAGGCTGGGATGCATAAATACCAGCTTCTTCCCAAAATCTCTGAGGGGCAGGGGAGCAACTAGTACTGAGATTGTTTGGAGCATGTGTACCAGTGCTGATGGTGTGGTCTTGTTTTGGGGAGCCTTTAGACAGTACTTTAGGGAGCCTTTAGAGATCCCTGTCCAGCCCACATCCTGGTGGATGTCTCTTAAGAGAAGTGCTCAAAGCCTCTGCCTCGCAATGGCGTGTTATAAGCAGAAGAGCTTTGTGTTGCTGTTTCTTTTGGCTGCTTAGTTACAGTATTCAAAGTCTTATGTATGCAGAATAGATACTTTTCCTGCACCAGGCAAGCACGTGTTTTTATGGACTCCAGCCATGTCCTTCCTCTCTCTGTCCCCAAAATAATAATTGGACCAACAGCACTAACGGTGCTCTCCCCAAGAAACCTTGCCCTGACAGATTGAATCTGGATGAGACTGAGGGGTTGCAGTAGTTGTTATGTGGTCAGTGTAAACTAAATATCCTCTGTTGCCATGAAGGGTGCAGCCCCCAGCGCTGGCAGCTTTGGCAGGCTGGGTTTAGGTAAGAGCTGTCCCATCTACTGCCACTCTGAGTGCCTGATGCTTGGTATTGGAAAAAGCAACAGGTTTGCTTTGCTTCTCTGCGAGGGTGTTGGTGATCAAATGTGTTTAGCATTTGCTCATTCAGTTTGTGAGAATTCATAGTATTACAGGAAAAAAAAAAGATGCCAAAACGAGGACGTTATCATGCACTTACTTTTATGATGCCTTTTTATTTTGATTTATTTGGTATGCTACTTAGTCTCTAAATGGCTTTATCTGGTAGATACAAGTCTTTTGGCCAATATGAGCGAGCAGACTTTTCCTACTTACATGGCAGCCTGGGGAAGTTGCTGGCTGGCTCTGCCTCCTTCAGCCCCAGTGTGTTTAACAGCACGACTGAAAGTCTCTGAACACTTGGGATGTGCAGAGTTCCTCCTGAGGTGTGTTGGCGTCACATTGGGAGGTTCAGATGTTTTACAGGCTGATGAACTGTGAGAAATGGCCACTGTGTTGCTGTACCAGAAGTGGTGTATTGTAATATGTTGCAGGGAGGATTACAAACATGTGAAAGCATCTCCTAGCAGTTGTTTTGCTTTGCATCAACCCAAAATGTGTGAATGAAAAGACAGTGCTTGCAGCAGTTTGGTATGAAAGTATTAAGCTGGTAAAGACCTTGTTTTTCTGTAGGAAAAAGTGCTTCCTGATGAAGAGCTGTCTATGTTTTTATGTATTTGACCTGGAAAGATGTGCCTGAAAGGCTTTCAACTCTTACCTGCTTTTACTACTAAATGAAGCATTTGATTAAAAAAAAGAACCTATTGTTCACTGCACTGTTCATCTTGAGCTGGCGTTTTCCCGTGTTGCACCACACACAGTATGTGCA